CCAAGGCAGGGTTCTGCCTCCGATAGGTACCACAGATGATGGAATAAAAAGTTCCATTCTCTGTAGTAACACATCAGTGACATAATCAGCAACAACCATGGGATCATCCGGCGAGAAGCAAACCCAAGGGCAATGCAAAAAAAGATCGCGTCCCATCTCAGTCTGCTGACCTATAATGCCAAACACGGCGGCAACCTGCAGTACGCAAACGCGATGAGAGCGTGAGCGACACCGATCTCGGGACAGACAATGTTCCGAGGATCCAAGAGGGGCATTGACGGAGACCTGATATCCGTCCGGATAAGAGATCATCAGTAGGTCCAACAGGGAAGGTGGTCCAACATGATCTTCCACATCTGGGATCCGCGTAGGCGAGGTAACCAGTTGTGTCAGACCATATGTCAAAGCAAAGTCATAAACAAATCTACCCGCATGACCGTTTAAACGAGAACCAAGTTATTCAGCATGGTGGGCTTTAAAATCATCAAGTAATACGATCTCTGCGGATGGGATCTATTGTAGCACGGAGTCTGTAGCCATCTGGACGTGGTCGATGAGTCGGTCTGTTTCGGCATTACCGCTATGGGACCTATAGAGGCACCCGTGGACGCGGGGATTGTCGTCGCTGTACACGCGTAGCAATAAGTTGGACAGGTCCGTACCACCTCGGCAGCCTTGAAGGTATTCAAGGCTGCCGAGGCGTTGAAAACAGATGTCCTCTCTGACATACACGCAAACTCCAGCCCGGGGCACAAAAGAATGTTCTTATTTTTGAATGAAGTCTAAGTAAGAAAGTTATGTTTCAGGGCTTCATTCTTTGCGATTTATTGTTAACGTATTGTAGGATGTATAGAGGATAAAATGTGAAATATTATAAGCAGTAAGTTATCATACATTTATGTAATATACTGTGGCGAGTAAATTAGTAGCTAGAACGGACCTAAACATCACGCCACTCCTACGTCATACATCGGACGATATTCTACGTCATTGCTAAGCAACGCCCGCTCATTAGGGCGCATGCGTTCCCATTGGTCGTAGCGCCAGCAGAGTTCGATGGCCGCCTGTGTACCTATTGTTCTCATCGACGGCGTCATGGGCGGAGTTCAACGGCCGCTTGCGCATGTATTGTGTTCGCTGTGAATACGACCAATCAGTGTGTAGTTTAAGATAAACAACATATCGCGATTTTAATTATTGTTAATTATTTTCACCTATATAAGCAATGTTTCCAATGCAATCAGATATTATTTCGTACTCTTGTCTAACTTGTACTTGCGTGTTAATAAATATAGTTATTAGTGGTCTGCAGTAATTTATTTGCTAATTATAACGGCATATGATCCTACGCCTACGCACTTACAATACATTTAAGTATTACTATGTTACATTGCTTAATTACAATATTCAAAATCATAATCAGTAATGCAACTTTATTTCAATTACAGGTTACAATCGGCAGAAAGTACTGTTATGGCATACAAGAAAGTGGAATTTGCTATTGTTTGTTTATTATAAGACTTTGCAAAGACAGAAGTGGAAGTGGAAGTCGGACCAACCGGCGGTTTTTCTAATTACCTCCATATTGAATCAGTGTTTATTGACTGCGGCTATGGATGCATGCCGAGTGCTATGTGCAATGAATATGGAAGTATCTATGCCACTGTCGTAAAGTGTATCTTTTAACCAGCGGCTGAGAATCTGAGATGTTATTTTCGAATTTGGGCGTTTGAAACTATGTAATAAATAAATATTCATTACTAAGAAGCGATTGAATTTTATTGATGTAGGTTTCTAAGCAAGTTGCGGGACATATTTCGGGGCGAACATTAAAATAAGATAACCTCAACACTGGTTGGGGGGCATTGGGTTTAGATGTTTTGATCAAATCAGTTATAGTTTTAGCTATAATCTGCTAAAGTCTAAACACGATTTGCAGTTACTAAAGACAAAAGTGTTACGGTCTTTTTGGAAGGAGTTTCCAAGTCGAGGTCGGAGTTAGGCCACTGTTGAATTAAATTATTTAGAACAGTGGTTGAGTCCCATGTCAAATTATACTTTGGCCAAGTAGGCTTTAACCTATAAACTACTTTCATTAATCCTTTAAGTCTATAGTTATGAATTAAATTACCTGGCAATAAGAATAAAATCGATTTGTAAGAGTTAATACTGCCATCTTTGGCACCCTTATCAAATACAATGGAAAGAAAATTAATTACTGTAGGAACAAAAACTGCAGAGTAATCATAACTATGTATTTTACAATATTTTATCCATTTTTTAACATATCCATCATATTGCTTATATGTAAAATTAGATAAAGAAGACAATATAATTTCTTCTGATCTCAAGAACAAATATCTCTTAAGTTTTGTACTAAGTGTTATAAGTAGAGATTAGTCATTAATCGTTATAGTCTGTGGTCATACAATATTTGTCTGTGTCACATTTTATATACTCTGTGGTTAATTAATTTAATAAAAAAATGTCATTTCCGTCTGATTGCGTCGTGTGATCTTATTACATATTATAATCCTCTATATCTTCGATAGGAGTAATAGGGTATTTCCGAAATACAACCCAGTACACTGGAAAATACAAATGACGTCATCAATTGACACTATGCGTGCCCCGCCATATTGCGTCGGATATCCGGCCCCAATAAAACAATTTTTAATTGTGCGCTGATAAATGAAGCATGCCTGAATTTGTTTTTATTTATTTAAATACAAAAAAAATTTAGAATAATTGCTGGTATCTCCACTAGGAAGATATAAGGTTGTTGGACCAGAAAATGAGAAAATAATCGCCAATACTTTTCCAATATGGCGTAAATATACGACGTGTTATATACCGTCCTATGTTTTGGAACGAATCACCAGCATAGCGTAGATTCATGACGTCATTTGCATTGGACAGTACACTGGGTTCTATTTTGGAACATACCCATAGTGTTCTGTGCTCTATATCTTTATCATCACCCGTATAAATAATTGAACATGGTGTTAGCAGTTAAAATATTAATAAGTACATTGATAAATAAATTTTAACACGGTAAGAAAAAGTTTATACGAAAAATAAAATTGCTACGTGTCTCAACATGGCTGAGAAGCAAAAACACCAATTACGTTTACAAAGTTGTATACAACCATTACTAATTGGCGATAATATGGCTAACAATTGGAAGAAATCGTACCAATCTTTTAAAATTTATATAAAAGCAACTGGATAATCTGAGAAGGGAGGCAGTCGGAAAGTTGCTGTATTCTTACACCTTATAGGACAAGAAGCTCTGGAAATATTTAACTCCTTTGGGCTCGATGAAGAAAAAGTAATATACGCTTACCTTGTCGAAGAATTTGAAGAATACTTCATATCTAAAGCTAATGTAACTTTTGAAAGTTATGAATTCAGAAGGAAAACGAGACAATCGAGTCAAATCAATACAAGTAATGGGAAGCCCCCCCCCCTACCCTTTCCTCGTTGCGGAAATATATAGCTTATGAGTAATATTTTTTTTTTGTAAATTTATAACCTCACTTTTTTAACAGGAATATTGGCAAAAAGTTACTTCTGCAACGGCGGTACGGTGTTGGGAGGGGGGAGGGGGCAGCTTGGTGTCGTGGGAAGCACCCCCTAACCTACCCCCCTTGCGGAAATGTATAGTTTATGAATAATAATTTTTTTTTTGTAAATCATAACCTCACTTTTTTATACCGGAATATTGACGCAAAGTTACTTCTGCAACGGCTTCGGCACTGAGCGAAGTGCAGCCTCTTCGCCCTTGCGTGGCAAATCACAAGCACCCATGCTCGCCTCCGCAGCTTTGGCTTATTGGTCGCTTTTGGCGACCAGCCTCAGCCGCTACGGCTCACTTAGGTGCCTGCAATTTGCTACAGCGGGCGTGGAGCTGCTCTCCCTCCGTGCCTACGGCTTTACAAAAACACTCTAGGGGTAGGGCAGACAAGACTACGTGGAGTCGGGGTGTGCTAATTCGGTTTTAGAACCGATTCGACCAATCTTATCTATAAAGTCTGGTTGCCCTAAACTCTGCTATGATAGGGGTAAATAAAATATTGTAATGTGAGTTGTATAATTTTGTTTTCTGAAAAACACCTTGACTGTTCTCCACTGCGACTCAATTTGTTGTATATAAGTCCCAGCCAGAAATGGATTGTCTGAGTCCGAGTGATTTACTTTTTCATGAGTGTATCTGTGTTAAAAAAACAAATTGATATATTTGCGTTTCGTTATTGCAATATTTAGTAAAATGTATTTTTATCGTAATTAATTCCAAAGGCATTTCTGAAATCCAAAAACAGTGTAAATGGTTCAAGCTTAACCCTGACAATCCTCATAAATTTATAACAAAATTAAAAATCAAACCAGACATCTACTTCATAATACGAGAACAAATTGACATATTTGCGTTTCGTTATTACACAATTTTTAGTGAAATGTGTATGAAAAAAGTAATGTTTTTATCGTAATTAATTCCAAAAAAATATACAGAGGAGAAGAGGGCGCCACAGTGCCACTGTTCACATCCCCTTCCCTCCGGACCGCGAAAGCGAACACACGTGTCCTCCGTGATTGTGTTGTTTTTATAAATAAAATAATTCTTCAAAAATATACTTAAAAATTCGTGCGTGTACCAGGGCAACATACTCGTAACGTAGTGCCATCCTGCTTCATTTGAAGAGGTAAGCTACGCCCTTTGTATATTGCCAGCGTGTATACTAACGTTCATTGGCTGCATAATTTTTGGCTCCACCCACTGCCTTTGCTCAAGAAGCGCCTGCTATTATAAAATAGCTAACCTGCAGAAAATTATTGCTTTGCTCAACATATTTAAAAATCTTCGTTCACCGAATAAAGCAGGATCAGACTCCGATATCTCCAAACTACCGAAAACCCCTTCTTCGCATGCTGTTTCAAGACAAAAAAGACGTCACGATGAACTCTCAAGGGATGACTTTCTTTCGTTCAAGGAAGAAGTTATGCAAATGCTGAAGTCATGGAAAGCTGATCATGACAACAGACTAACTAACATGGAAAATAGTCTTACAAATATAAAGAAGATAAATACAGACATAGAAAAGTCACTGGAATTTATATCTCAGAAATATGAGGATATGCAAAACAAAATAATAACGCTTGAAAAACAATGTAAAGATAATCATAAATACATTATGTCTCTGGAAGAAAAAGTTGAGGAACTCTATCGAAATAGCAGAAGAAATGGCATAGAGATACGTAATATTCCTGAAAAAGAAAAAGAAAACAAAAACGATTTAACGCAATTACCTAGTGATCTACCTCTCGAAAACATTAAATATTAATTTACAATCGTGTGATATTAAGGATATATTTCGTGGAAAAAAGGAAAAAAGGGTTCCACCAGACCCATAATTGTTGAATTAGCAAACATGTCACAAAAGCAGACAATACTTAGCTCTGTAAAATCATTTAATAAAAACAACCCTAGTGAAAAACTCAATGTGTCGTATTTTGGTATAAATACTAGTGCCTCTCCAGTGTATGTATCCGAACACCTTACCCCTAGTACGAAGAAAATATACTATCTGGCACGTCAGTTATCAAAAGAAAAAATGTACAAGTTTTGCTGGACTGCAAACGGAAAAGTTTTTATACGAAAATCAGACGGATCACCTGCGATATTAATTAGAAATGAAGCCCAATTCGAGGATCTAAAATGTGAATGACTAAATATTGCTTCATTGTGGCTTAAAATACATTTTAACTATTCACTACGTTACTGCATGTTAATTTTCAGGTTTGTTTCTTTGTTTTTCTTATTAATATTTATAGGATTAGTTTTAAAAAATTAGGATCTTAACACAAACACTACATAAACTCACAAACCAACAAACAAAACATACTACACACAAACACTTAAACTCACTCATTAGACTCGTCCTAACTCGTACAGTATTCACAATTAAACATTTCATAAAAACTACATTACTCCTGATAATCACTCACCATAATCAACATAATACATCTTGCTTTAAATTATATACGCTATTGTACGTCGAACGCTGTACTAACCATTACAAAACCTATGCCCGTAAATTACAACTTAAAAATACCTCATTTTTTGCTTGTGTAATTAACTACACCTACTCAGTACAGTCTATTGTTCAAATAAATAATACAATCTTATTCTCTTACATATACAAATTATACGTCTTAAATGTTTATAATAAAAATGGCGAATAATATTAACTCATACATCGACAGTATAGACCAGTGTACATTAAGTGAATCCTATTATTGTACTCCGGAAGAGGCTAAACATTATATTAAACAACCAAACAAATTCCTAAAGATACTAAATCAAAATATAAGATCGATAAATTGCAACTTTCTTAGTTTACAAACCTTACTTGACCGAATCTCATTTGATTGCGATGTGTTGGTTTTAACAGAGTGCTGGTTGCCCTGCTCAAGTAATCAAAATATTCCTTATATACTGCACTATACTATGTACAAAACTTGTAAACACCAAAACCAAAGTGATGGGGTAATTATTTACATTAAATCATGTTATTTGGTAAATATTGAAGAAATAAATTTTAATAACACAGCGTCTGGACTAATTGCTACGATTGATTCAAATACAGTGCTTATTTGCATTTATCGATCACCATCAAATGAAAACATAAAGGAGTTTCTTTCGACACTCAACGCTACACTTACACCGCTTTCAAAATATAAGACAGTCATAATAACTGGAGATATAAATCTAGATATAAAATCTTCTTCCTTAGGTACCCGCAGCCATGAATATCTCAATTGTCTTGCATACCATAGTGTTCTTCCTGCTCACACCCGTCCAACCAGAGAAGACAACTGTATTGATCACTTTATGTTGCGCACCAAATACATGGCTGTAGTTTTCGTTTTCGACACCACTATCACTGACCATTATTGCTCTGTTTTGTGTATCGAAAACGAAACAAAAAATAATGTAATTTCCACTATTTCAAAAGTTAACTTTGACAATCTTGATAAAGCAGTCGAAAAACTTAACTTAGCACCCATTTATTCCATGTTAGATCCTAATACAGCAACTGAAGCTCTTGTTAAACTATTATCGGATGCAATAGCTGAAAATTCATCAGTTAAAAAAATTTCGTCCAGAAATAGAATACTTAAACCGTGGATGACACCGGGTTTGTTAAGGTGTATAAAAAATAGAGATTCAATGCATAGAAAAGTAAAAAAAATCTCCTAATAATTTAACACTGTCTATCACTTATAAGCGGTATAGAAACTTCTGCACAAAAATTTTAAAGAAAGCAAAGAGAGATTATGATGCTCAAGAAATAAGTAAAGCAGGAAAAAAAACCCTAAAGCACTTTGGGATACTATCAAAAAAAAATCACAAATACATTCCACAATAAACAAGCAACATGTCAGTTAGTTACACAGGCAAGGTCTCTAAAACAATCATGCAATAATGTTAACAAATTTTTCGTTGATGTAGGAAAGCAGCTTGCGGACAATATAATCAATTCTAACAATTTACCTCAGTTTACTTCTTTACAATCTTTTACATGTATTTCTTCTTTTGTTCTTGAAAAACCCAATACTGATGAAATAATATCAGTCATAAAGAGTTTAAAGTCAAATGTAGCTACCGGTTGGGATGCCATATCTTCCGCAATATTAAAAAAGATACTCTGCTACGCTAGCACCTGTGCTAAGCCATATATTCAATCTCTGTTTCGAAAAAGCTATTTTTCCTAACTCTTTAAAAAAGTCTATAATTCATCCCATCTTCAAGGGTGGAGATGGGACTTTAATTACTAATTATTGCCCTATTGCCGTACTACCAGCTTTATCTAAAGTCTTAGAACGTTTAGTGAACAATAGACTGGTCCATTATCTTGAACACTTTAAATTAATCTCACCTCAACAATTCGGATTTCGTAGAAATAAATCAACTTCTGACGCAGTTCATGAATTAATAAATTTCATAGTCACTAATCTAAATAGTCATAAAAAGGTCCTAACGATATTTCTAGATCTAGCAAAAGCCTTTGACTCAATTCCTGTTTCTACTCTTTTGGCTAAGTTAGAGAAAATTGGTGTCAGAGGTTTACAGTTAGACTTTTTCAGAAGTTACCTTACAAATCGAACTCAAATGTTTAAAATATCGGACTGCATCGGTGACGAACTCCCTGTTACCTATGATGTCCCCCAGGGAAGTATTCTTGGCTCAACTCTATTTCTTGTTTTTATTAATGACTTGTGTAATCTTCACATTGATAACGCAAAAATAGTCTCTTTTGCAGATGATACAGCTATTACTTTCCATGCAACATCTTGGAAAGATCTTGAAAATATATCACAACGTAGTTTTAATCAAATATATAATTGGCTTTTATCTCACACTCTTACTCTTAATACTTCCAAAACTAAATTTATAACTTTCTCTATCAGTCCCACCTCGCAACCAAATATTCCCATCAAGTTGAAAGCTCACTCTTGTTCCCTACAGTCTTCGCCTTGTCTGTGTCCACAGATAAATTCTGTAGACAATATAAAGTATCTAGGTATTATACTTGATAAACACCTTAATTTTAAAATGCATATAAATCTCTTAACGAGTAAAGTTCGCAAACTAATATATATATTTAAAACACTACGTTATGTCGCAAATTCCATAATTATACGCAACGTTTATTATGCTTTATGTCAGTCTATCATCACGTATTGCATTTCTTGCTGGGGTGGTGTTGCAAAAACAACATTAAAGCCACTTGAAGTTGCACAAAGAGCTATCTTAAAGGTTGCTACTTTCAAACCAATGTTATTTCCAACTACTCATCTATATCAAAACTGCGCTGTTCTAACTGTGAGGCAGCTCTTTATACTGCACACAGTATTACTTCAGCATAATAAGACTCCTTTCATTGTAATTTCTAAACGGCGTAAAGACAAAGTATGCACACTTCCGCTAGCCAATTTTTCATTTGTAAAAAGATTTTTTTATTATCTAGGTCCTTTACTTTACAACAAAATAAATGCGGAAGTAGAGATTTACGAAATGTCAACATTTAATTGTAAAACTTCTGTCCGCTCTTTCCTGCTAAATAAGTCATATGATGATACAGAGCAATACTTGTTAACATTGTTATAAAATTACGTCGCATTGTTATATATTTATTTCATTTTTTTAAGTATTACATATACATTCACTGACACACACACACACACCCACACCCACACACACACACACACACACACACACACACACACACACACACACACACACACACACACACACACACACACACACACACACACACACACACACACGCACACACAAAGAGAGAGAGATCATTTTATTATATCTCTAAAATTGTATAAATATTATTTCTATAAAAAAATCATAATAATTTTAAACAATACAACTATGTATTCCTAATCAACAGGGGGGGATGGGACTGTATCTCCTAAATACAGGTTACTCAGTAACCTAGCTAGGAGACTCAGGTTTCTAGCCTTTCAAATTGTGAACTATGAAAGTCAATAAAGAATTATTATATCGAGTCCGTATTTAAAGTGAATAAAAATATTGTTTTCTGTATATTAGAAGCTAAAAGTGTATAAATGGGTAAATTTATAATAAGTGCTACTCAGACGATATGAAAAATCAAGTGAAAACGCAGTGAAATAAAAATATTTTCAAAATTAAATAATTAACGGTCAACAGTGTTGTGTTAAGTGAATCGAAATATTGGCTGGTGAGTCAAGTTATTAGATAAACGACTTGTTGCAAGAATTGTTCTTCAAAGAACAATCACTCGAAATAAAAACTTTATTAAGTGCGAAAACTACAAATCTTATTAAACATTTAAAAAATAACCTTAAAGTAAAAGTGCTAATCATCATCAACCTGAGCCATAAGACATATAAAACGGTAATAGCAACGCCATCTATCACTAAACTTGAACACTACGTAATCAACCTAACTCAAGAGATACATCGTACTCAATATCCGTAAACGATCGAACTAATCAAACTTTCTAATTCACCACGTAACCAATAGAGGGCACTGCTCACAAAAATGATCAAATCAAATTGTCTTACAGCCCACTTAAAGCTTACAAAGACATTTCAAGGACCATGGAAGTAATCAAATGCATGCTGGAAAACATGCAAAACGAAATAAAACAGCAAAAGATTGATATGCTCGAAATGAAAGATGAAATAAAAACTGCTATTAAAAATAATATAAACGACAAGTTTAGGAGCTTGGAAATTAAAAATGAACGTACAGAAAAGAAATTAGAGGAGCATTCCTCAG